ATGGGAGTGATTTTATCGTGCGGATAGGTTGTGGTAGGTTATTCCAGAGTCTAGAGAATTTACAGGTGAAGTAATTCATATAAAGAGATGATTTAGAATGAGTTTGTTTCACTAGTGCCAAGGAATTACGTATGTTATAATGAGAGGTTTCTGCATATTGAATCGCGTGATCGGATGTAAACGATAGTTTATGAAGTAGTTTGAAGAAAAAGATAAGATTTAGTTTGAGTCTCCTCCCCCATAAAGGGTCTAGCCCAAGTTTATTACATCTAGAATTATAAGTTAAGGTACAATCAGCTCCAAGAATACGAAGTGTAAATCGTCTCTGTACTGATTCCAGCCTTAATTTATCCTTTATGAGAGCACTGCTAAGAGTAAACGTGCAGTATTCCAGAAGAGGTCGAGCACAAACTTTGCACATTAGAATACGTGACTCAGTGTTGTAAAGATTTCGAGTTATGTAACCTATTAGACGTTGAGACTTGGAGGTCTGTTTTAAAATATGTTCTGTAAACGACAAGTCTTGGGAGTATCTAAGTCCTAAGTCTACTACTGTATGTAACTTAGATAACACTTCTCCATTTATGGTAACGTCTAGGTTGAGCGATGTATCGCCGAAGCATATCCATCCACATTTAGCCGTATTAAGCTCCAGTTGCCATTTCAAGCACCACTGTGTTACCTTGTTAAGCTCCATGCTGATGCAATTTCGTATATTTTTCAGGTCATGTGGAGAAAATGAATATACTACTTTAAGATCATATGCATATAGAAGGGGCTTACTGACACAAAAACTTTCACAAATATCATTAATAAACACTAAAAAGAGCAAAGGACCTAAGACACTACCTTGTATTACTCCACTTCTAACAGGGACAGCGTTAGACAATGAAGAGTTAATTTTGACTATTTGGTATCGATTGCTGAGAAAGGAATCAAGCCAAGCAAGCAAAGGATTTTGAACCCCATAAGATGCGAGCTTACCTATAAGAAGTTGGTGGCTAACCATGTCAAAGGCTTTAGAAATGTCCAGATATAGCACTAAGACTATATAACCCTGGCTACGTAGAGAATAAACTAAATTAAAGAAGTCAAAATGACATGTCATGCAAGAACGATTTTTAAGAAATCCATGTTGAGTATCATTGACAAATTTTCCAGCAAGTAAATAGTTGGAAAGTTCATCACTGATAATTTTTTCCATAATCCTAGAAATAACTGGAGTAATATTTATTGTCCGGTAATTGTTCATGTCAGTTTATCTCCAAATTTGTAACGTGGTGTGATGTACCCGGTTTTCCAACAATAGGGGTAAGAACCGGTTTCCATAGAGAGAGTAAACAGCTTGAGAAGAAGAAGTGGAATATCTGGACCACCATATTTGTAGAGAAATGATGAAATCCCATCTACTCCATGACCTTTCGAAAGCTTAAGGGTATTTATAGCCTTAGAAGAAGAAGAAGAAAGCTTGCGCAAACTAAACCTGCTGGATGATGAGTAAAACTATTTTGTAATAGACTTCCCTTTTTGTACTTAAACCGCGTAATTTAATTTCTAATATATCTCTGTTGTGCTCGCACGCCGTGTTCTCACTTGAGTGGCATCTGCCAGTCCTGACTGTTGTGTTGTGTTTCAGATCGCTCTTGCCTGCAAGTAAACGCTAATAATACCTGCTACACATAAAATTAAACTATTAAATTATCCTAATAGTTTATATAGTTAATCTGGTATTAATTATTATTAACTTAATAAGGACTAAAAATTTATACATTCTAGATTTTATGCCAAGAGATTAAATGTACAATTATGAAGAAATGTATACACTTATCAATAAAAATCATTACGTCACAGTATAATTACTACAGTCTAATCTTGAATTGAACTTGTGATATAATGAATAAGTTAAATAGAAAGATTGAGGTTTTATCAATGCTGTATGTATACTATAGAAGTATACAGTTTGTAACAAGTAGGAGTTATAATTTGATGAAACCATTTTCTTTTCATTGTCTACAATAAATTAAGTATTAATTTAGAACTTTACTCAATATTGTTATAATCAATTGTTTTTTTTGTGTGTATATATGTGATTTATGAACTATAAAGGTTGTAACAAGTAAAAATGTTCTCTTTGTAACAAGTCCATAAATTGAATACAAACTTAAGGTCATTTAATAAGGTTTAAATGGATTATGATATTGTACGTTAGTAATGATAAGAATATGAATTAAAAATAGATGCAATTATTATTCAAATATAAACAATGATGTAAGTTAGTGAGCTATTTTAATTAAGGAAGCATTGATGACATGTTACATATTGATACATAACTCCCTATTTCTATATACTAACGAGTACTTGATTGAATTTTCCGATTTCTGATATGATTTAACTTCAATGGTTTCAGTCAGTTACTGAAACTTCAAGAATTGTATAATGAAGGTAATCAGTAACGGGTAGATTGATATTCATAAAATGTTTTAGAGGTATTTAGCATTTTGAACACAGTTTTCAAAATAAACTGATATGAGTTGAAAAGCTGTAGAAAGATTTAGGCAGAGTTTATTTTGAAAGTAAAGATCACTTAATTTCGGAATATGATTTATAGGTTATATTCTTTAGTCTGTCAGTAGAGTTATAGTTAGTAATATGACATTTTGTATAAAAAGTTCTAGTGAGATGCCGTGATAAATGGAGTTCAACCAAGTCTGGTGTACAGTGGCGCGATTTTGTAGATTGGTTGAAGTTAGATATTAACACCGTTGAATGCCTGTTCGGCGATCTAATGGTTAAGCGCTCGCGTGCGAGACTATCAGATCCTGGATTCGAATCTGGTGGGGGCAGGATCATGTATGTGCGCTGCTGAGGAGTCTTACACTAGGATGCAACGACCGTCCAGTGCTTTCAGGTCTCCCATAGTGTTCTAGCTCTAATTGACTCATGATTTCAACTATTGAAATTACTAAATACTCAACAAAACACCTTAAGTTAATTATTTCATTAAATAGGTTTTTGAGACAATCTCAGTATTTTCAACTATCAGTAAACAATTAAAAAAACTTATTTATTGATAAGCTTTCATATAAACAATAAGTCATTTGTTATATATTATAGTGTGTTGGGAAACTCTGCGAAAAAAGTGGTGTAAATATAAGAAAATAATTTTCATCATTGATTAATAAAATAGACGTTTATTTTGTTCTAAATCACTTACATTACAACATGGTTTCAACATTTTATATTGTAGTTTATACTGATGAACATCAAATAGTCAGTACCTATCACATTTTGGTCTTCCAAAGAGCGGATATATATATATATATATATATATATATATATATATATATGTTTATCAAAAGCTATGACATACCAAATTTCTCACTTTGATATTCTTTCTGGTGATTATACACCAGGTTATCATTATTTATTTCCCATTTGTTATTGTAGATACCGAATGTGTTTTTATCTATGAACTATGCTTGGCAACTTTGAGAAGGAAAAGTCAGTTTAAAACGGTAATTCTACACTTACAGAAATAGAAAGTTGAATCGGGAGGAAGGAGTTGAGAATTAACCATGTAAATAGTCAAAATATGTGTTTATTTAACTGAAACCGATTGCTGGTAAACTCTGCTGTAATCATTAATATCCCTTTTCTTTTAAAGTGACATGTTTGGGTAAAAAAATATCACAAAAAGTAACTATGGGTCGAAATAACCACGGGTTGTGATAAAAAATATATCCAAAATCAACTGATTTCAGCAAAATTTTAACTGAATTTTATTTATTATTTTCATAAACTGGTGCCGGCTTTCGGATAAATGTTTCAACGTTTTAGTAAGAACTGGTGACTAATGTATTTCGAACATGTTATAAATCGAACAGTTACTCACAAACAGTATTAAATGATGATTGAACGTAACTATGAATTTAAAGAAGTTAGAAATTACGTTAATCATGTTGTAACTCAGTGATACATAGGTTACATGCCTATCATGAAACCTGACACACCTGAATACGATCTCTGAATAAACCGACGGTGAATACTTTATGAGCTTCATACTCTGACATGGCTTGTCTAGTTCTTTCTAGTTTTCAATGACAATCTAACTTGCATCAGTTTGTGATAAAACTGTCAATGGAATAGTTACGTAGTTTGTTTTCAATATGGATATGGTAGTCCATAAGTGATTCACTGTCATACTGCTTTTGTTAAAGTAATTTTCATACGATTAATACTCTTGATTTACTTTTATCTAGGTATGTAAATTTACGAGCTCAATCAGTTGGCCAATAATTTTATCTTCTGAATAGTGATCAGCTAAAATTCGGAGATCGAATACACAAGCTGATCATCAATCTGCTAATCGTAGTTATTCCACTGTGCTATGATATCAACAGAATCAGCATAACAAAAATAATAGGGATGAAATATGTATCACGTAATAACTGAAAAGATATCAGGACATTCAAGCTACTTAGTTAATAAAGGTATATTAACTATACACTTAAAGATAATAACTTTATCTTGAATTTCACTTCAGATTTGATCTCAACACATTATTATTATTATATTTTTCGGCCAATAAATAAAAATCACTTTTCTAGATATTTTACCATTCAAAAAAAGTAGAGAATAGTTTTACCTAACAGATTATTTCTCGAAATTAGTAAAAGAAAAACATGTGGGATAAAGGGTTTTCTGATTAATCTTGACGCTACAATTCTATTGGTTGAAAGTCTACCCCCCCCAACATCTTTAAGAACCAATCAAATTGCGATTAAATATCCATTGTCAAAATGCAATTTGTTTTTGTTTTTTTTGTGTGTTTTTGTTTTAAAAGACAAATCAAATTCATATGTATATGTTTGTAATTTATTCATTTTATTTGAAATAAACATCCTTTTCATTTACAGAAATTATTTAATAAATTCAGTCTATTTTTTTTTCTAAGCATTTTGAATATTCTAATTAGTTCTTAGGAGAAAAAAAGAAAAGAAATGAACATGAAAAATCCATTAGATTTTGAATTCAATACACAATTATTACCACAATATAAAGAATATCAATTATATTCAAATGATTTATGTTTACAAGAATTAAAACAATTTTATTATAATCAAACATGGTTAATTAATATTACTGAAGAAATTCATTCAACAATGGAACAATTAAATAGACCATGTGAAAAAATTCAACGTTTTGAATGGATGCTTGAACGTGAATATTTTGTTGCTATAACAATGGGTTTATTAGCATGTTTTGGATTGATTGGCAATTTATTAAGTTGTATTGTAATTATTAAATATTTATTAAAATTTTCTGAAACATTCATTTTATTTATATTTTTATCATTAGCTGATTCATTAGTTATTATTATGCAAACAATTGATGCTTATCGTAATTCTGTTGCAGTTGACTTTTATACATTAATTTCATTAGATGAAATTTCACATCCATCAAATATATGGCGACGTGATTGGAATTGTAAATTATTTTTATATTTTTGGCATTTAAGTTTACAACTTTCAGCATGGCTTGTTATGGCATTAACGGTAGATCGATATGCAAGTTTAAAACAAGTCTATATAACAAGAAGTAGACGTTCATTACATTGTCGTGCATGGTTAATTGGTGGAAGTATACTAGTCTTTTTAGCCTTTTTAAATCTACCATTTTTAATTTATGTGAAATCAGTGATTTACGAAATGCCATGTGGAGTAAGTAATTTATTGATAATGAAATATTTTAAAAATTATATTTGATTTTTGTATTTACTTACCTATATTTGTATAGATTTGTTAATGTGTTCATATTTGATAGTCAATTTGTTTATAATAATATTACAGATGTAATAATTGTGAAACATCTACGTAATATACATAAGAGGATTGATATAGATTAATTGATAATCAAGAGAGAGAGAACACTAAATAATTGGCACATCCTTCTAAGGAACTTCTCACTATTTCACACTCTACACCCCTTTATGGTTTGAAACTAAGAATAACAAGTCTCACATCAAGCATCCTATATTTAAACTAGTAAATTTACATCAACCGGTATACATTTTTATCTCCAATCAAACTATGACAAGAAATCATAATTTATTCTTAGTATTAATAAATTACTGTTTCCTTTTTGACATTTTTGAACTCCATCGGTCACAACTCTTTAATAGAATATCTAGAAGAAAAAAAAACTAGCGAATAAGCAATTTCCAAGTTTTTAAGTAAACATATATTTGTTCTGATTTGATCGCATCTACAGTAGCTGATTAATTTTAATAAATATCTATCTATTTTATATTCGAACAAGTATTTAGAGGATATGTTGAAAAAACTATCTTCAATCCAATTGATAGCTTGAAATAGCACATAAATAAGCCGTAGACATTCGTATATACTTATTGACACAAGCTATCCTACCTTTTAAAACGATGATAACAAGTTGAAAATAGGTTTAAAACCGTCATTAACAACTTTATATCAACGCAACAGAACATTTATAGGTTAAGCTATTTTAAAAAAACTTAGAATTGTGTTAAAAGTTATTTTAAGCCAAGTATACGGTTTTCGTGATTTTTTTGTGTGATAGCTATCCATCATCATGAAAGTAAGTTGTAAATTCAATAAAGTCGAATGTGCTTTATGTAAATGTTATGAAAAAAAAGCAGTTTATAGGTATTTGCAATGTCATCATGTATATTATTGTTTTCTTAGATTTAAAGAAATTAGAATTTAATTTTTGTTATGAATCGACATCATTTAGACAAGCATTGAAAACTAGTAACCATTGGATTATTTTTTTGTTTTTGTTTTCTGTTCGTTTAAAGCTCACTAACAGTGTGAATACTTAACCGCATCAAAGGATTCAAGTTGACAATCGAAAAATCTTGCTAAACGCATTAGACTTAGAAATTTTAAGGCTAAAAATTAATGTTAAACTTAACGATTATTTAAGGAGTATTCCAATAAAATAATAATATTATGACTATTACGGATAAGTAATGAAATGTATCAGTCAAAGAAGGCGATGATTTAGAATGTTAATTTTGTAAGAAATGAAGCAGTAATTCACTGATAATGATGAATTAGACTACCGTTTTGAGTATGAACTTTAAGATAACAGATTAGAAGTTTAAAAGTATCGTATATATAGTAATGCACGATAGTCGATCTCTGAATACAGTATGTGGATGAAGGAATGAGTAAGTACTGTTTTAAAGAGCGGAAAATAGTGAAAAAATAATTGTGATCTACTTCTCGCTTTTCAGTTTTACTCCATCTGATTTCAGCAATTCAAAAAGCTATCTTCAGACTATATGATGTTTCTGCCGAGTGCTTTAAAAAAAGGTTTATATGATATGGTCAGGTGAATTTCGTCTAAAGAATAAGATTACATCTTGACTTAATACTATACCATCATCTTAATAGTGAAATGTCTATGGTTTTCTTTCATAAGACCTGCTAATTTCAAAGCGTAAAATGATATCATTAATAATTAATTTGAAATATTTCAGCCCTACTAAAGGTCATCCACAGCTCGAATAGCGTAGTACAAACGTTTCAGACTGTAAAGCTGTATGATTCAAATTTATATAATGTAAAAGACATCAATCGTATTAAGATTCCAGATACGACCTGATAATGAACGTTAGCTAGCATGAAATCTGGGTCCATAATTTCTTACTGACTTTTTGCAACCATTCAACATCTTTACATAAGGGCGACAAAGCTGTAAACTATTGATATCAATACCATTGTAACCCGAAATCACATAATCCAATAGAGATATTTTTTTAACATCTACAAAATCATATGTTCGTTTAAAATAATGATTTCATACAAAGAATGAAATCTAGTGCTTTTACTTTTCCTAGGCAAAAGAAAACAAATAATTTTTTGACAATCAGGACTCATTGTTAGCAGAAGATCATTTGACTTTTAATTAGAATTTAACATAATTTGATTGGTTCTTTTATATTTTGTAAACCTGTAAAAGCAAAGTGTAAATATAACAAAAACAGGTTTATACGATAGATTTTATAGTAATAAAATGAATAAAGGTGATTTTGAAAAGTTGATTTTTCTATGTTGTTGTTCTGAGATAACAGATTCTAGTCCGAACATACATCCAGATGTAAATTGTGAATTTGACTTAACAGACATGTTTTAAAATCATTTTTTAAATAGGTTGAACTTTAAATTAGATATCCCTATTAGGGTTAAGACAGTATGAACCGACAATGCATGCAATATATATATGCTATATTTGTATTTAAATAGAACATAGATTAACAATGTTCTTTGGCGATTTTCGTCATGTACTGACGTCAACGAGTAAACTAGTATATTTTTTAACGTACTTTCATTTACTATCCGAGATAACTATGGACTTAGAAATTTTGGTGGTGAGTGTAGTAAACATAATCACTGAACTTGGTCGATTAATTTAACAAGTGGATGTAAGAAATGTGTACTTTTACATTATTAACTATATATTACCCAAGATTTGTGTAAGATTCCCTTTAGCGTAATATCTAATCCTTTTTTTCTTTTGTGTTATTATTTAGTTCTAATGAAAAAAATCTAATTATTTTAATTAAGTAAATGGCATTTTTGAAGTCGTCTAAAACCCATTAGTTGAATGAAGAAACTACTTTTTTTGTGATTCATGTTTATACTAATTATTGGACAAATGAATTTCAACATTATTTATATCATTTTACATCAACTGGGCAATTTTTATATAAAAGGATCCATTATAACCATGTTATGATATAACATACGTTTGTATGATGTTTAGTTTCTGAAAATCGTTACACAGAAAAGTATAAAGTAGCTAACTGAAATTTAAAAGTCCATCGTAATCAATGATTTAAAACATTACTTGATTTCAAAAGTCATATTTAAATAGTCTCATCAATTGACATTCAAATAATTTTGGTATTTCATGAAGCAACTTGATCTGAGCTACATCAGGGAAATAATTAAAATCACGTTCATTCTATATACAGTAACATTACTATACACAAAATGAAAGTGATCAGACAAGTCTTTAAGTGTAATTTTGTCATTATATCTAATATATTCTTCAATAATTTTGTTTTTGATTATTTTCCTGATGAAGCTCAGATAATAGAGACAGATGAAACATCCAAATTATTTTAATATCAATCTCTAAGATTATTTTAAATCTAATTTATGCATTTGATGTCTTCTGTATACTGAACGCTCAATTTCTGTCTATTTGTTCGAATTTCAACAAATGTTCATATAAATAATTTAAGACAGTTCACAAAGTAACTAATTCAAAAACACATAGAACTTTAATATTTCTCATTTAGTTAATATTACCCAATGAAGTTCTCAATTCCTTATCTGATATATCCTATTTCAACTTATTTTTATGATTTCATAGTAGACATTACATCAATTAGATTTTCATTTTTTTCAAGTTTTCTATTCTTAAATGATCCTTTTTTTGTGAGGGGGGACATTTTAAATGTTTAGAATCATTCTATGATTATCTATGGTGTATATGTAACTTTCCGTCTACATGTTTACTAAAAAAATAAAGTAACAATAATGAAAAATTGAATTTCAAATCAATATTTGGCAACTTTATTTAATCATAACAGACAAACACCATTCAAATATATATATATATATATATATATATATATATATATATATATATTCCTTTAAAAATAAACTGTAGTCTAATTTCATATTGTCCACATCTTCTAATGGTTTATGTTTAAGTAACATTTTATTTCATTAGTTTTCAGATAAACATGATAAATTTGAAACTATAATGAAAACAATAGAAATATTGGTTGAATTCATTAGAATTTGTTCGATATCAGAGAACTTTTATTTCTTGTATTATTCTCTCTACAATTAAACAAAATTTGGATAATGATACATTTTTGTATACAATATATGATATTACAACAAAAAAATGTTTAATTTTGTAATTTCGGTTTTGATTTCATCATAAATATAGGATACAATTATCTGTCATAGATGTCTGTTATAAGTATTAGATGTTGATCACTTACCACTATTGTTAAGAATGAAAAAATCCTGGAAAATCCTATAAATAAATCTGAAAATAATGAATAATGTTAAACTAATACATTTGTAGATAATTTTAACAGACTTCATAATTTATCCCTTTTGTAGTAAAATGCAAGAATATTATATGTAATTCGAGGATAAATTAATTACGCATTGATATCAACAGTAGATTCAGTAAAAATTGGCGAACAATGAACAACCACTAACATTTAATTTGCTACTCCATAACCATTCATATATGTAACCCTATACAAACTAGAACCAATATTTTTTGTTTGTTAAGAGAAACATGAAGGTTTGTTGGCAGAGGGGATTCGAACCCAGGATATTCGTCTTCATGCACTAATACCCAACCTATAGACCATTTAGCCGTCACCTGACATACTGCAAAGTCGTGCATGGAGGAACTCGTCACCATGCATCAACTTCATTGACTATGAGGAGGCGTTTGACAGTGTGGAATGGAGAAACTTATGGGAACTTCTTCAACACTATGATGTACCTGCGAAAATTTTCAACATTATCCGGGATTCATACGACGGACAGCTGACAGACACATTCCAAGTAAATACCGGATTCAAACAAAGCTGTTCACTCTCCTCATTTCTCATTCTTCTGGTGGTTGATTGGATTCTGAAGACCTCGATATCTGACGGTAAAAACGGAATAAAATGGAGAGGTTGGATGCAACTTGACGATTTGGACTTGGCAGATGACTTGGCTTTTCTATCCCATACACAGCGACAAATGTGATTCAAGACAAACAGTGTAGGAGCAGCCTCTGTATCAGTATACATCAACATACACAGGGGAAAAATCAAGATCCTCAAATAAAACACGGAGAACACTAACTCAATCACTCTTGATGGAGAAGCTCTGGAAGATGTGGAATCTTTCACGTACCCGGGAAGCATCAACTATGAATACGAAGGATCTGGTGCAGATGTAAAGGCGAGGATTGGGAAATCAAGGGCCACATTCCTACAATTGAAGAACATATGGAACTCAAAACATCTGTCTATCAACCAACATCAAATTCAGAATCTTCAATACGAACGTCAAGAAAGTCCTACTGTACGGAGCTGAAACATGCAGAACTACTACAAACATCATCAAACAGGTACAAGTATTTGTAAACAATTGTCTACGTAAGATACTGATTGTCCGTTGACCGGATAACATCAGCAACAGCCTACTATGTGGAAGAACAAAACAAAAGAGCTTCTAGCTGAAGAGGAAATTAGGAAAACGCTCTGGAAGTGGATAGGACACACATTGAGGAAATCATCAAACTGCATGACGATCCAATCGCTAACCTGGAATCCTGAATGTAAACGAGAAAGAGGAAGGTCAAAAAACACACTACGTCAAGAATTGGATTCATACTTGAATAGGACGAATGGTAACTGGAAGGATGTGGATAGGGTTGCCTAGGACGGGGTTGAATGGAGAGTGCTAGTGAACAGTCTATTCTCCTTGACGAGGAGTAGCAGGCGTATGGAAGTAACAGGAACAAGTTATCATGAACTACAAGGTAATACGATTCCTTCACTTTCATTTTCCTACTCCAGTTTTAAATTGGAGAAAATGCTTGTATATATATATATATATATATATATATATATATATATATATCAGATTTGCGTTTTAAAATGAAAACGCCTAACCGGTTTTTAATTACTGAATATTTACATACTCAATGTCAATCTATCATGACAACTATCTTCTGATTTCACAAGGCATGTATTTTGTACATATCACTATGCCAGCGATAATAAACTTGACTTAATTACCATAATTTTACATTGCTGACAAGATATTTGCTGTGATCCAATGCTATTTAAATAACTATTATAATTTTGAGTAATTAGCTTGACTACTTAGTGATAAACAAGTAGCTAACTTTAGAAAAGTATATTCAAAAAACTGTTATTGCGAAATTTAGCTATCCGACTAACCAAAAACCAACCACGATTTTCATATTCAAAAGGTAACTATTTTTATGTTGAGCTATAAAATCTTTGAGCTATGACTCTCATGATTAATGGATGATGACATTAAGTGATGTAGGTGCATTTACTCTTAATCTGTCTCTAGATCCTGAGTTTTAGAACTAATTTATACTTTTTATCCCTTTTTAAATCATATTCTTGATTTTACTGTTGATGAAAAATCTACCAATCTACTTTTTATTTTGAAATTCTGCTCTTAACATGCTGATATGATCTGTTAGGTTTACATTTGTGATAATTTTATACGTTACTTACGACTGTCCGAATAATGATTTGGCTACTAAATAGAACGCTGTCATTATGCTTTTACAGATCATCATGGAAACCTTTAAATTAGACAAATCAGAATTCAGTGTAAATTACTCCAAGGATATTTCGATTAAATAAAATGCCAAATAGAATGCTGATCGATTTGTAATCCTAGCATGAATTTATTAATTTTCTACATTAAATAATAGTTGCCAGAAAGATAATACTGAAAATACTGTACTTTTACAATTTTCTCATAAAATAATCCAGGATCATTAAAAATGATTCTCAGTATAGTCAACTGTCAGATTTTTATATCCGTTTATTGAGAAGCTAATAACCTTTAAATTATAAGAAATATCGGGCATTCCATCTGGTAAAATGACAAATGTTAGTCAAGATTCAGAAAAAAAATAAAACATTCCATTATATTAAATTGTTCATAAATGAAAACAAAGAAAACATGACTAAGTAGAAACTAATTTATTATTGTGATTATATGATTCTAGATAATCACTAAAGTCACCTATACTTAATAAATTAATTAGCAGATTTGATTTGTTTTTCATAGTTTGCATTAACTACTTAATTAGATCAGGAAGAAATGGATTGTTTCGCATGGCACGTACCTGACCAAGCCAAGCGTTAATTCCAGGATATCTACAATTTTCGATAAGTGCTTAACCTTTAGAACACTGAGCCGATCTCAGTGGTTGTACTAAGTATTCTATGTAATAAATTATTTGTAATGAAAATGGAAGCCAGTCTTTTAAGTCAATTAACAAGTTAAATAAAATCTAGCTTTGGAGGAGTATTTACATTATTACTAGTTAACCATCACTTAGAAAAGTCATCCTCATTATAGTTTGAGTGTTATAATCCGATGATTCTGAAAGAATATAAGATCCCTAATGATTGTAATATCCATAAATCACACCTTCTTTACAAGAAGCAAGGCCCTCAAAAAGTTATACAATCCCATGATAACTTGAATATTATTATGTATCATTTGAATGTGGACGGGGGAAGCACAATACATTAAAGTTTTCCAAGCGTATCATTTACCACTTTAGTAGTAATTCAATGTATTCAATTGTTGTATTCATTTTTTAATTTTCTAGCACAGTCATTTCTGTATTTTTATCAATCCAACTGAAGAAAGAGAGCTGACAGGAGATATAGAACAGACAAGTTCGTCAAAACAAATACACACTGATGAATTCAATCATTTATATGATCATTTTGTCAATGGTACATTATTATTATTTAGTAATCAGTCATTTGAAATGAATCAAACTACAGATTGTAAACAATTACATGGACTTCATAATTTATTTAATGAATTAGTAGAAACAAAGCAATCGAAATCATCACTATTTTCTATTGCACGTAACATTAGCATATGGTTAAGTCATCAACATTTAATTATTTTTGGATTTATTCCTTATACTGTTACTATTATATTTAATGTGTTATTAATTCATTACTTAAGATCATTACCATGGTTTCATCCAAAACAAAAATGTGGTAATAAAGTATGTTTTAAAAAGAATACAAAATATAATCCAAAAATATTAATGAGTTTAAACAAATGTTGTATATCCATGTTTCAACGATCTGAAAAATGTAAATCTAAAAATGAAGAAAAAATAAAATCATATAATCATCAAATTAATATTGAGCAATCATTAATTCCATGTAAATGTATATTACATTCAGAGAATAATCCAGTTATTATTGGTACAACATGTTCACATTCATTAAATAAACGAAAACAAATTCATAAATTTGTTAAAATATTTGATAATAATAATAATCATAATCAGAATATAATTACTATGTATTGTCCAATATCTAGTCATCATCATATGATATCATCATGTATTGAACCGCATACATGGGATGGTACATTAAACAATCATAATGATAATAACAATAATGATAATAATAAAACGAAACATTTTCAATCTTCAACTCTAAATGAAACACCTTCAAATAATTCAAGGTATTCATCTTGTGTTTCAATAAAATTGGATAATTCACAAAGTCGTCTATGTTCTCAGCATTTTGATGATGATGATGATGATAATGTTGATAATGATGGATGTCGAATTCGTGATGAAAATATTAATAGTATGCATTATTATTCACAATCCAAAAATGGTTGTAAATTATTGTCTAATAGACAAAATACTGATATACATATTTTACTACATAAATACAGATCAAATTCAGTTAAAACAGGATGGTTTGTTGGTCAAAGACGTACAACTATTTTATTATTAGTTGTAACATTTACTTTTATAGGATTAACATTGCCATATTTAATTTATGTTGAATTAAAACAAGTAAGTTATTCTGAAATGAATTTTTAAAAAATCGTGCCACTTTTTACCTGTATATGTACTGATCCTCAAACAATTCATTCTAAAGATTATACAATTTAAATATCTCAGTCGTGATATATATTTAATTGTGTAAATCTTCAACAGCCAGTATTAGTCGAAACATTTTCTCAAATAAAATCACAGTTTATAAATGCGGGAACTGAGCTAATATCCGTCGGTCTCGCGCGTGGAGGTTTGGCCTCTAGATCACTTAGCCGACATTCATTGGTACTAGTGTGTAACTACAATCAATGAATGATGCATGAACACTTTTTAGTAGTCCCATATCAGAACGAAACTTTCTCCGAGTGCTAAAAGTTTTTAAGCGATGGTCTAGATAAGATTAATTTGTGGTTCAAACTAAATATGCTGGCAATTATAATAACATTAATTAGACTTCGGTCTTTCTTTTCATTACATTCTTAAGGAAATAGAAGTTTAACTTTTAATAGATACCCACTTTAAATCATTAAAAATCCCCATTTTGTTGAAATTAATCTGCTGTCATTACTGAGGTATATATATAAAGACAAATGTCTTTATTAATGACATATAATATTCTCAATGTAATTACACTACAATGAGTGTAGTATATATACCTAGCACACAAGATAGGCACATCATTGTCAAGAATTCTGCTCTCTGCTATTTTCAGTCAAAAGCTTTACATTTAATAATAGTAGAAGCTTTGCAGATAAATTCTTTAAAATTAAATTATGAGATCAAATTGCTGAGTTATTTAACGATTAAGCATCATGATACTGGTCATATAATTTAGTAATTTGAAACTGAATCAAGTTTTTCAAATACAGTTTATAATTTTAAACGAATTAGATATTTCAATGTATAAAGCTGCAATGATTAGAAGTAAGCGTAAATCATCGATGACCCTTAATATAAACGACTTCATACTATTGGAATTATATTTCCATATTTTTGGAAGCCTGAAAAAAAAACTGAAAATGCTTTTAACAATCAGTGCATCGTGAAAATGTTTCTAAAACGTTCAGCAAACAACTCATTATGTATTTCTTAAAGTATCTAATGCCTCAAAGTAGACCATGACTTTATAAATAGTCATTTTTTTATATTCTCCATCCTATTTTCATTGAGTACAATAAAGTTAATGTCTTGTACGTTTAATACCAAAAAATATGGTAAATTAAACTATTTACGAATATTTTAAGATATTTTGGGTAATCTAAAGCCATATTTTTACATCAAACGATATAACTATAAACTAATGTGATAAATGTAAGAACATTATGTGTTTGTATATATATACATGCATTATATAATATTAAAACTAGTAAATTAGGGTTTACCGATTTATATTTTAGTTACTTTCGATAAAGCACGATATGCTATCCATTTCAAAAATGTTCCATACTTAATGTTAGTTCACGATAAAAATCTAAACAAAAAAAGCTTAAAAGTAAATATTTGCCCACTATAAAATAAACACATTAATCTATAACGAGCGTTTGCTCATCAGTTATGTTTTGTGTATTCGAGTTGACTGCTATATATATAAAGAGATAAGGAGTGAATTAGATAAGAATACATTCAATGAAATCTAGGCATCAAGATTTATTATGATGATCACGAGATGAGCGATTATTAATTTGTAGGAAGAAACATTTCTTAACGATTAAATAATTTCAATGGTTAAGATCATGAGTCATTTGAAGCTAGACCACCATGGAAAACCCAGAAGCGCTGGACGGCCGTTTCGTCCTATTGTGGGACTTCTCAGCAGTGCTCATCCACGACCTCGCCCCCTGAGAGATTCGAACCCAGGACCTACTGGTTTTGCGCGCAAGCGCTTAACCACTAGACCCACAATAGGACGAAACGGCCATCCAGTGCTTCTAGGTTTTCCATGGTGGTCCAGCTTCAATTGACTCATGACCTTAACCATTGAAATTACTATAATATCCACAATACCCATCTGAGATTAAATAATTATTCATCTTTATTCTATTTCAATAAAATAACTTCTTATGCATAAAATATTATCTGATATATTAAGGGTATAGACAATAATTGAAAATTTGAATACATTTTTATTTAGTCGGTTATAAAAACAATAAAGAAAACACTCCTAAAATAGGTTACATTTTTGGAAGAGAAATAATGATTGGGAAACTAAACAATACACAACTTAAATTAATACATGTGGCTTATTTTCATAAAGAATAACCTTCTACTTTACTCAAACGTTTACCTATTTCTAAAAAAAATTGATTTGAAGTTGAGTGGTGTGATGCAACTTTTTCAATGAATTGGAATTTATATATATATATATATATATATATATATATATATATATATATATATATATATAAATATGTCTGAAAATACTTGTGATTTTTCAATAGTGAACTTATATTTATCGATATAGGGTTGTGGAGATTGTTGAGTTTTAATTCAGACCATGATTTGTTCAATGTTAGACCACCTTTGAAAACCTGGAAGCACTAGACAGCCGTTTCGTCCTAGTATGGGACTACTCTAGCATAGGGGACATATAAGAACACATGTTCTAGACGGCTGAGCCGGCATCTGACGGTTTTATTGTTTAATCTCAATCAATCCACAAAATTTATCAACTATCATTCATTGTTTTTTGTAGGTAACTGACTCACACACGACACGATTGAACTCCACTGGTCATAGCTTCGCACTGGAACTCCGAGAAGTATCTCTCAAAACTAGTCACTAATGAGCACATGATAATTATCAGTATAGGGTTCATGATCTCAATAAAGACTTTGTATTTTAAAATTTACTGTAATAACGTGAATTCATTTATTTTGTAGTTTCTCTTGTATCACCTACAATCTAGAGACAATAATTATTAATCATATATTATCATGAATAGATAATTTTTATCATACAGATAAATATTAGTAAACTGAATGCAGTAATCATGGACAAATTGTTAAGTGTTCTAATGGTTGAATGTTTATTTGTTAACTCGTATGAAAATGCTAGGAGGAAAAATATAAAACCACATAAAGACGGGTTTTTAATATTATCTGATCACCGAGTAATGACAATTGTCAAGTATGTCAAGTCGTTCTTAGTGTTGATGGAATTCTATCGATCAAGAAAGTGACAATTTTTATTCGAAAATAATGTAACGGTGATCGTAAATATTGGATAGTGTTATATCAAAAGAAGATTAAGTTACGAGTAACTCCTGGGAATTTTTTCCGGACGGTTATTGTTGATATATCATTATCATATAACCGTTAAGTAACTAGAATATATGTATTTACACTTATTTTATCATCAGTTTCCAACTGACCTACTGGCTATTATTATACGACTTACTATCCTTGAGTTATTCCCAATTTATTAGTCGCAGTCTCCCACACTAATAGGTCATATAGACCTGGTTGAACTGGTAACGGCTTCTCACTAGAACTCCAGGAAATGCCTCTTGAAGTCAGTCACTAGTGAGCAAATGATTACCCCTTCTGATAATAGTCATTTGCTCACTGAATACAATGGTGTACAGTAGCGCGATTTCGTAGATTGGTTGAAGTTAAACATTAACACCGTCGCATGCCGGCTCAGTGGTCTAATCGTTAAGCATTGCGCGCGAGACTATTAGGTCCTGGGTTCGAATCTCTCGGGGAGCAGGATCGTGTATGTGCATTGCTGAGGAGTTTCATACTAGGGCGAAACGGCCGTCCAGTGCTTTCAGGCTTTCCATAGTAATCTAGTTTCATGATTTCAACTATTGGAATTGTTACTACTGTTTCTGCTAAGTTAATTGTTCCTTCTTTATTCAAATTCATCATTTGGAAACGTTATATTGAAATGTATCATTAATGATCATTCAATGTCTTTTCTTTTTCTGCTTTATTTGTACACTATTTTGTGGAATACAGTATTTCACTTTTTTTTCAGTCATATATTCATAGATATTGTATTGTATATGTAACAGTCTGAAATATGGTAGATTTCACGAATTATATAACTATATATTTATTTATTTAATATGAAACATTTTGAAAGTATTAAATTTATCAAATAAAATATGAAATTTTTATTTATACTTCTCAGGATGAAATCGTTTTTTTTAAAAGAATTAATTTCAATAGTCAATATATATATTTCACTGATGTTCTGATCGAATTGATCTAAAAGTGATGTAAACTAATAATAATAATAATAATAATAATAATAATAATAATAATAATATATGTCTAGTATACCAAGCCCTCTCTTTATCCCTCTCTCTGTAATGTATCAGGCTTAAATTAAATCAATTCATTAGGGAACAAATATGTCATACAATAATAATTGAATTTTAAATCATACAAACAAACGAAGTAGAATTTTCTAAATGTAATCAAAATAATTCTAATCTAAATATTGTATCATTGAAATATTGGTAATTATAATTGAGCTATAACTATGCATTTGCACATATGTCAGTAGATGGGGGGAAAAAGTGTTATCTGTAGTGTGAAGGAGTTCAATTAAATCAGTATATATATGTTAATGGTGTAAGATATGAGTAGTATTAAACAGAGTTATTTGAAACAAATGATCGATATTGGGTCGACAGTAATGTCTTCTTTCCCATTAAGTACAGTATAATTTAGCATTGTAGGAAAAGCTTCAGCTAATTATCTTTATTTATAGTTGTTAAAACTTTTTAAAATTATTTAGATATTTTTTTAAATATTTGATTTGGTGGTTATTGAAAATAGCATGGACAACTGATACTGAGTTCATTTAGAGATTCTTAATTTCTACGTAACTTTTAGAGCTTCTATGTCGCTTAAATGCTCCTTGAGTTGAGTCAAGATTTCACTAGAAGATTGAGGCAACACAATCAACTTAACCTAGTGTCTAGAAGAAATTCTGTACTGAGATTGAAGGGCTCGTTCCTTTTACTTAAATCAAGACATTTCAAAATGTCAATTGATTTATAGTATGCT